TAGAGAGAGGGAGGAGCGGACATTTGCAGGACCTACGTAGATGCCTGCATCTGAAAAAAAAAATCAGCTGCTCTTAAAAGCAGGAGCCATTGTCATTAATCATGAATGACTTAAAGGTGTGGAGTTCATCCAAAAGCAAGTACTGGTTGCTATTGTCTTGGCATTGTGCTAGACCCAAAGGGTGTAACGATGTTCAAAAAGACACTGTTGGTCCATTTAATGGAGCTTTTGATCTAGTAGGGGAAGAGAGGGGTGAATGAATAACCCACCAATTCTCGGGAAAGAGTGGTGCTGGTGGGTGTAGTGCCACAGTGGCCTTTGGCTCCTGAGATTGCTTGATGTGCTTGGCAACTATCCAAGCACACCATATAGGGCACAGCTGTAGACCTCAGGGTTTTATTGCTGTCCTGAAGGCTGAGAAGATCAAGAGCAGGGTGCCTTTGCATCGCCCCTCCTGCAGGTGGCTCCACCGGCTTTCACTGGCTGCTGAAATCTTAGCACTTGATGAACTGAGGCAGGGGGATTGGGATTTCAAGGCCAGCCTTGACTGCATATAGAATTTGAGGCCAACCTGGGCTACATGAAAAACTGTCTCAAAAACAAAACAAAACAAAACTCCCAAATCCTGGTCCCCCTTATAATTGTATCAGGAGCCTTTGGGAGGTGAGCGAGTGAATGGGACATGGGGGTAGAGGGCTCGGAAGTTGGATGAATGTGTCATAAGAGAGACTTTGGGGTGTTCTTTCACTCCTTCCACTGTGGGAGGAGACAGCAAAAACAAGCAAAAAGCCAAAAAAAAAAAAAGAGTAGATAAAAACCAAAAAAACACCAGCTCTCTGTAAACTAGTAAGTAGGCTCCTGCTGTATACCAAGAATGTGCTGGCCCTTCTGTGTAGGGCTTCCTATCTTCTGAAACTTTGAGAAATAAAGTTAGGCAGGAAAGCCAAACAGAGAATGATGGGAAGAAGAATGGCAGGGTCAGGGGAGTTGCCAGGAGACACAGAGGGAGCAAGTCATGCTGGAGGACAGGTAAAACCATGAGCTACATAGCAGTACATAGATTAATAGAAATGGGTTAGCTAAAGTTGTAAGAGCTAGTTAATAAAAAGACTGAGCTATTGGCTGAGCTTTTTGTTTGTTTTGTTTTTTTCAAGATAGGGTCTCTGTAGGTTTTGGAGCCTGTTCTGGAACTAGTGGCTAAGCATTTATAATTTATATTAACTCTCTTGTAGTTATTTGAGAGTGTCTTCCAGGACACAGAAAATCTCCACCTACAAACCCTAATCCCAAATGCATGGTTTTAGGAGGTGATACCTTTGGGAGAGGATTATAGATCATGAGAACAGAGCCTTCACCATGGGATTAGTGCCCTTAGGTGAGCCCCTGGGAGCTGAGGGCAGAGATTAACCTGTAAGGCAATTGTGTTTGAGGCTCTAGGCTCTGTCCTTTTTTTTTCTTTTTAAAGATTTATTTAATTATTATGTGCACAGTGTTCTGCCTGCATATATGCCTGTAGGCCAGAAGAGGGCGCCAGATCTCATTACAGATGTTTGTGAGCCACCTTATGGTTGCTGGGAATTGAAGTGCTGAGCCATCTCTCCAGCCCTCCCGGGCTCCAGCCCTCTTGGGCTTCAGCCTTCACACTCTTGCACATCTTGCACATGCACATGTGCATGTGTGTGCACACACAAAGTCCCTGGGAAGCTCCACTGTCCCTGCACCATGTGACTGAGGCAGAAGATAACCATCTGTGCAGCAGGAAGCAGAGCCACACCAGACGCAGAATTTTCTGAAACTTCAATCTAGGACTTCTAGACCTTTAAAATTGTTTTTTGTTTTGTTTGCTTTGTTTTGTTTTGGTTTTAGTTTTTTTGAGACAGGATTTCTCTGTGTAGCTTTGGAGCCTGTCTTGGAACTTGCTCTGTAGACCAGGCTGGCCTTAGACATCCAGAACTGTATGTGAGCAGTGAGGCTCACCTCTGAGTGGAGGCCGAAGACCAAGTTCACGTGTCTTCTTTTATTTTTCTCTTCTTTACTGCTTTGAGATTGTCTCACTGAGTTTGTAGCCATTTGAGGTAGACTGGCTGAGCAGTGAGCCCCTGTCTTGTCCCTTCCACACACACCAGCAATGGGGTTACAGGCACATGCTGCAATGCCCTTACTCTATAACTTGGGATGACCCAGAACACACCATAGCCTAGGCTGGCCTTGAACTTTGGACAGTCCTCCTACCTCAGCCTCCCAAGTGTTGGGTTACCAGCATCAGCTACCATGCCCATCTTGGGAAATAAATAGTTGTGTAGTTTATTTGCCCAAACAAAGACAGGTAGAGAGGAGACCTGCACTTTGGAAAACATGTCCACAGCTGTTGTGTTAAGGAGGGGAGGTTAAGGAGGCACAGTGGATCCCAGGAGACCAATGAGAGGCTGATCCAGAGACCCAGTTAGGTGGAGACTGAAGAACATGGGGAGGAAAAGGGCCCAGGAGCCGATGATGGACAGAACCGTAGGGTAGCAGGTGATATTGGTAAAGCAACTTCTGCAGCCATTTGTAGAGACAGGAAACTATGGAGGGGACTTAAGTCCTGGTTTTAGACTCCAGTTGGTCTCTGGTGTTTTAGGTATTAAGTGGAAGACTCCTCGGGCTGATATGGACTTGCAGTTCAGACAGAAAGGAGTTGGAAACTCAACTAATTATCTGGGGACTACATGCATGTGAATGGAAATGAAGACACGGGGTAAGCGACTGCAGGAAAAGGATCTGGACCCCTTCGTTGGGCCGTTAGCTATGTCAGCAAAGTTGCTGGGTAGGCAGCCAGATGATAGAGAACCAGTGGCCTCAGTCTTGAGGCCTCTGGGGGAATGATGACAAGCAGACTCTATCCATATGCCCGTCGGGGGCCTTGGTCTGTGGATAAAGAGCCTTACTCAGCCATACACTTTTGAAGATCTAATGCCAGCCTGGCCTACAGAGCGAGTTCTAGGACAGGCTCCAAAGCTATACAGAGAAACCTTGTCTCAAAAAACAAAAACAAAAACCAAACCAAACAAACAAAAAAACAAAAAACCAGTACCCCCTAAAAAAACAAAACAACCCCCCCAACAATTTAGAGGTCTAAAAGTCCTAGACTGAAGTTCCAGAAAACTCTGTCTGGTGTGGCTCTGCCCCCTGCTGCACAGATGGCCGTCCTCTGCACAGGACACCAACCATGAAGTTCCAGAGTGGCCCTTTGGTCGATTTTCAGCTTCCTCAAGGACAGAGGCTTTTCTGTCCCTATTTTGCCACTTGTGGCTTGGACTTCATGTAAATGCTGGTTCCCTTCACAGCCATGTGTAAGGAGGAGAGAGACTGGCTATAACTTTTAAGATGGGGGAGGTAGTGAAGAATTCCACAAGCTTCCTGCGCCCTCTCTTTAAATCTCATTGGCCAGACTGGTTTGTATATTAGTTTCTTAACCTCCCATGTGATGGTACTACTTTCAGCTAAGATACCTGTTGTGAAAATTACTTTACCTATGTAAAGATATGTTACCTTTTTTATGTTTCAGAATCTTACTTTAACTGTGTAAAGGTGTGTTAATTTGTTTATGCTGCATTTGTTTGACAGTGTAAGGATGCGTGTTTAATTATGTAAAGATGTGTTGCCTCTTTTCACCTTGCCTGCCTAAGGCACCTGATTGGTCTAATAAAAAGCTGAACAGCCAATAGCTAGGCAGGAGAAGGATAGATGGGGCTGGCAGGCATAGAGAATAAATAGAAGGAGAATCTAGGCAAGGAAAAGGAGGAGAGAATGAAGGAGAAAGAGAAGACTAGGGGGACCAGAAGTCAGGCAGCTGCCAGTCAGACGTGGGGACAGCAAGAAAGTAAGACATACAGAAAGAAAGGTAGAAAGCCCCACAGCAAAAGGTAGATAAAGAAAAACATTAAAATAAAAGCTAAGACCAAGCATTCAAAACTAGTACTATGTCTCCGTGTCATGATTTGGGAGCTGGTTGGTGGCCCAAAAGAAAGATGGCTACAGATATCCCTCAAACTGCTAATTGAGGAGGAAAGGGTGGGGTGGATCCTGGACCACTGTGATGGGGATGGAGAAGCCTGAAGGGCACCAGCATCCATCCCCACCTCCCTTAGAGTGTCGGCTCTAGTGTGGGGCTGAGAAGTTGAAGCCTCTTCTCTTAGACTTCCTGGCAGCAACAAAGTTGCCCATAAATTAAATTTGGTCAGTGGAATGCCCTTGCCTGGGATCTGGATGGCGGAAGTGTGCAGGGACCACTTTCTTATTTGACTCTTGTTGCTTTCAAGATGCCTTTGGAGAGCCTGAACTCTGTAGTGACATACAGGCTACCAGCATATCAAAGATGGAGCTATCAATCAAGGCAGTGATTGTTGCCTTCTGATCCCTGGAGAGCATCTATGGTGCTGTTTTGCTTTTGACACGTTCTTACTATGCAGCCTTAGCTGGCCTGGAATTTACTATGCAGACCAGGCTAGACTGTGTTGAACTCGCAAGAGATTTGCCTTCTTTGGCCTCAGTCTGGGTTCTTGACCACTGTCACCTAACTGTGGAAGAAGTAGTTGTCCTGGCAGACGTTCTGCGATGAAGTTCTGGGGTCCAGCTGAGGACCCCATCTTTTCCTGTGGCTCTTTTCAGCAGCTAATTCTTTAAATTAATTGCCTTCTGCTTGAGTCTAAGCCCCTGATTTAGCATGGAGCTTGTTCTCAGACTGAATAGACAACAGACCAGCACGGGGTGTAGTCACAGAGGCTGCAGGTGGGAGGATGAGGACTGTCACTGCGGCCTGTGCTCCTCAGACCCCATTGAAGACTGTGTGTGTTGGGGGTAGGTTGTCCCATAACTGTCATTGTTGGAACATTAGTACACTGTTCCACTCTCAACCGCCCCTCCCAAGGTGTGTGGAGGGAAAACCTATAGGCACTGGGGGGGGGGGAGTCTAAACGCGGGTCCCCGTCAAAGGTCTGGAGGCACTGGTGAGTGGCCAAAGTCCCTTTAATATCCCTGAATTGCGTTACAAGTAATACTGCTGAAGATGGGGAAGGAATAAGGGTGAGGATGAGTGGAGGGTACGGCAAGGGAGGGGCCAAAGGCTTAGCATGCATGGGAAATTATTGCTGTCAGAAGTTCCTATTTACAGGGTCAGCACCCTCCATAATTGCTTCTGGTGACCCCTCTCTCTCCCACCATCTCTGCAGCCTCCCTTCCAGGAGCCTGGGGCAGAATGAAGCTCCATCCCTCGGAAGCCCCAGAGAGGGGCCTGGAGCGGTCTGCATTCTCCTCCCTCTTTTGTGGCTAGGGGGAGGGGAAAGAGGTCTGAGTGTCCAGGACTCTTGTCCACAAAGAGGACACAGAGGGATGCGGGTAGAGGCGTGTGCTTAAAGCAGAGGGGGCCGGGCCGGTGCGCGCGGAGGTGTGTGCTTCGGTCCTCGCCCGGGCATGCAAAAGCGCGGTGGAGGAGGTAGTGGTGGCCAATAGGCGCCTGGCTGGCAGTCCCGGCCCCTCTGCCCGGGAGAGTTGCATAGTCGTGGCCGGGAGAGAGCACTCCTCCCGGGAGCAGGCCAGAGGCCCCAGCGGGGTCCGGGGCTCAGTCGGTCCCTGGAACCTGGGGTCCCTCTGAAAGAGGAATAAATAAGAAACAAAGGAGGAGGGTCCAGAAGGGCTTCCTGGGACCGGAGTGGAAGGTTCAAGAGGCCGGGGACCTGCCCCGAAATAGGACCTTCTGATGGCCCCTCCCCTGCCAGCTGAGGATCAGCAGGCTCCGCTCCCTCCCCCCATTTCTCCAGGCCTCGTCCTAAGGAGTTCAGGCCTCTGATAAGGGTGGTCTTCTCCCCAGACCCATAGGGGAGGAGCAGCGAGCTATGGCCTTGCTGACCCTGCTCCTCGACTTCCCAGTCCAGCTGGGGAAGCCAGACAGTCCCTGGGTGAAGCCAAGAGATTAAATAGAATAATAAATAGATAAATAAATAAATACACAAATAAATAGCTGAAGGGGCCCTGCCAGATGAGGGGTAGAGTCCATGGGTGAGGTGCAGAGGTGAACCTGTGGTCCTGGGGTGAGGGAAAGTGCTCAGATAATCTGTGAAAGGTGCAGCTCCCTGCCTGAGGCCTAGGCAGGAACTGTCCTGGGGTAAGAAGGGTCACCTGAGAGGGCAGAGCCCTGGGCTGCCTCCCAAGTCTGTTCCCAGCTAGGAAAACTGAGGAATGGAGATCTACTAGAGGGAAGCTGGAGAGAGCAGGGAGTAGAATGGTTGATGAGATCCAGGAAAACTAAGGAGGGCAGAAGTGTTAGGTAGGACGTGTGAGAGGCTGGACCTAAGGCCTAAGCATCGAGGGGCTCAGGGGTGGACAGGCAGGGTACTCCAGGAGGGGTGAAGATTAGATTCTTGAATGGACACGCGCGTACACACACACACACACACACACACACACTCAGCAGAAAGACCCAAAGGATCGGACTGTGTGGACAGGGAAACTGAGGCAGACAGGAAGTCAAGGGTACATTCGGGTTTAGAATGAGGGCTCCAATAGAGGAATGACTCAGCTGAGAAATGAGAAGAAAGCTCTAGTAAGGAGCACAGCTTAGAGTCGGGGCCAGAGAAACTTCCAGCGCAGGGACCCGAAGAGGTACGGACCTGGTGCCTGAGTTGGGAGCCTTGAAGGCCAGACTTGGGGTCAAGGTCCGAGTTGTGGCCAGAATGGACAATGTGGGTGGGCGCAAAGGGGGATCTGGTGCAGGAAATGAGTGGTGGGCTTGGTGGGGGTCGAAAAGAAAATCCTGGGTCAAGATGGGGTTCACCCTCACCCCGCCGAGGGTGCAGGCAGGGGAGACTCTAGACTGAGGGGTGGGAGAAGCCTCTGCAGGCACCCAGCGTAGCGGAGGCTCAGCTGGCCGGGCCGGCGGGGGGCGGCGGCTCGGCAGCCTTGACGCATGCGGCCTCGCAGTGCTTGTGGAGGTAGGACTTGAGAGCGAAGCTCTTGTCGCACTGGCGGCAGCGGTAATGCTTGAAGGCCGAGTGCGTCTGCATGTGCGCGCGCAGGTTGGAGCGGTCGGCGAAGGCCTTGCCGCAGTGCGCGCAGCCGAAGGGCTTCTCGCCGGTGTGCGAGCGCATGTGGCCCTGGAGCAGCCAGGGCCGGGAGAAGGCCTTGCCGCACACGCCGCACTTGTGGCGCAGGTTGTGCGTGAGCACATGCATGGCGAGCGCGGGCATGGACACGTAGGCCTTGCCGCACGTCGGGCACTTGCGCGCCAGCTGGCTGTCCAGGCTGCGGTGCGTCTGCTTGTGGCGGCTCAGGTTCGACGACGTGGCGTACGTCTTGCCGCACTCTGCGCATGCGTGCCGATGCCCGCCGCCCGCTGTCGCCCCCGAGCGACCCGCGCGCTCCCCGCCGCCGCCGCCGCCGGCGTCGCCCGCACCTGCCGCGTCCCCGCTAGCCCCGGCGCGGCGCCTCCGTGAGCGCCCGTCGGAGATGAAGAAGGCGTCCATGGAGTAGCTGTCGGTCACGGCCGCCTCCCCGCGGAAGTAGCGCGCCGACAGGCTGGATTGCGGGCTCTCGGGATCGCTGTACTCTTCCGACGCCGCGGCCGGGTATGCGGGTTCGGCGGGCGCCAGCTCCAGCCCAGGCTTCTGCTCGCCATCGTAGCCGCTGGGGGGCAGGCAGTGCCCCACATAACCTGCGGGTGACAAGGAGGGGAGTGAGGATGCGGGAGATGCGGGGGCGGGGGGGAGGGTTCCCCGCAGGCCGCCTTGCACCGATGTTCACTCAGCTGGCCTGCCCACCCAGGCCTTCCTGGGTGAACCTCTGTTGGTGAAGAGATTGGCTTGGTTCTGCCCACTTGGCCTTCATTGTCACAAGTGTGCACAACAATGTGCACACAAAGGCTGGAAGTAGCCTTTCACTCTCTCTAGGTGAAGAGATTGAGGCATAGGGGGCAGCAAGCAATCTAAGCTTGCAGAAGCTCTGCAGTCCAAAGATGCCCATCCCCACCCCAAGAATTATTTTGCATTTTCACCTCTGTAACATGCGCGAATATAAGTCTCTGTTTTTTTATTTTTTTATTTTAATTTATTGTTAGGGGACCATGTAGCCCCGGCTGACCTGGAACTTATTTTGTAGTTAATTAAGCTGGCATCTAACTCACAGAGATCCTCCTGTCTCTGCCTCCTGAGTGCTGGGACTACATTGAGTGCATTCCATACTACAAAACAGCTTTTGCCTTTATCGAATTTCAGAGGCAGGAGAATCATCTGAGCTCAGGAATTTGAGGCCAGTGTGGGCAGTGCAGCGAGACCCCCATCTTTAAAAATGTTTGCTTTGGCCTGGCGGTGGTGGCGCACGCCTTTAATGCCAGCACTTGGGAGACAGAGGCAGGAGAATCTCTGTGAGGTCGAGGCTAACCTGGTCTACAGAGTGAGTTCCAGGACTGGCTCCATAGATACTGAGAAACCCTGTCTGGAAAAACAAAAAACAAAACAAAAAAAAATGTTTGCTTTAAATGGAGTTTGTAAGTAGACATCCAACTTCAGGGTTTTTTTTTTTGTTTGTTTTTGTTTTTTTTGGGGGGGGGTTTCGAGACAGGGTTTTTCTGTGGCTTTGGAGCCTGTCCTGGAACTAGCTCTGTAGACCAGGCTGGTTTCGAACTCACAGAGATCCGCCTGCCTCTGCCTCCCGAGTGCTGGGATTAAAGGCATGCGCCACCACAGCCCTGCTCAACTTCAGGGTTTTTGACAGAACCCAATATAAAGTGATAAACATGTTAAGTATTAAGCACTTACCGTCTGTCAGCCTGGACTTTATCCTTTACAAAGGCTAACTCAATCATCATAGGAAATATAGTTCCCATTACACACATAAAGAAATCGAGAGTGCACAATAATTGCTATGTAAATGTTAGCATTATAATTACACTTCTTTTCTTTCTGCTCCAACAGTGCTTCAATGAAGCTTGTTTGTCTGCCTCTCCCACCACACTGCACCCGAGTTCTCTGGGCTTGGGTCTGTGTACTCTGCCCTGCCTGGCACACGGCGTGAGGAGTGAATGATGCAGAAAGGAATCAGAGCCCAACTAGACTCCACCCTCCAAGAGGACTTACCAGTCAAAAGTGTGGCGTGTAATCACTACACCAGGATAGAGAGCCCTTGGGGTGTGTGTGTGTGTGTGTGTGTGTGTGTGTGTGTGTGGAGAGAGAGAGAGAGAGAGATGCTCACTCTCCACCTGTTCTACTGGAGTCTGGACCAGAAATCCTGTCTGTCTGTCACGTGTTTGAGAGACTGCTCTGTGGGCAGGGTGAGGCTTTCTCAGGGGACTTGGAGGGGCTTCTGGAGAGCAGGGGCCACACCATTTGTCTCTGGCTCCCATGGCCTCTTCTGATCTTAGTGTTTTCCCTGGGGAGCCTGGGGGCTGGGCTCCTCAGAGAGTTCCTGGCAGACACTGAGCAAACTTATCATCCAACACTTAATTACCAAGTGTCCCCATTGTCCTTTGATTCCAGAGAACAATGGAGGTTAGGCCCTTTCCCCTGCTCTCACAGCTGAGGAGCTGAGGAGTGGCATTCCCATTTGCCCCTCTCCTTCTGACCTCTGGGACCTGTAACGCCCCTCTGCCCAGGGCTTCCCCCATGAAGGAGCAGCTGGAAGAGGGCTTTGTAAGCATGATTCCAGCAATGTCTGGCAGGCTGGGCACTTTGGCCAGTTTCATTTCCCTTAAAGGGCCTGGCTGACTATCTCCAGCCTTCTGCCTTTTCTGGCATTTGGGATGATCCCAGGTTGAGATCTGGACAAACCACTTTCCAACACTCCTAGTCTGCGTCTGTATTTCTCTGTTCTGTGTGTGGTCTGCACAGGAACTGTTGCACACAGAAATCACTGGGGAGTCAGGGTGGGTGACTCAACAGTAAGGGACTCTGTGGTCAGGAGCAAGGGGGCAGTGGTGGAGACTTAATTCAAGAGTAGGGGTGACTACCATGGCAGCACTCATCTCCTTCCCGTCTGCTTTCAGCTTGGAAGGTCAGACTGCCCATGCCAGGAGTCGGTCTGTCACTTTGTCAAGGGCTGGGTTGTTTATCTGGTGGTTACTCCAAGACCCTGTCCTCCTTCAGCCTCCCCACGTGGTGCAACTACTGAGCTGCTTGCTGAGCACGCCCTGGGTGCCAGGCTCTTTTTTAAGAGCTCTACTGCCACTTCTGAGTCCTCTCAAAAATGTCTTCCTGACAGATAAGGAAACCAAGAGTGGTGGGACCTGCTCATGGGGTGGAACCAAGAGTGGAACCCACACTGCGTGTTCCCTGTACCCTAGGGAACCCCCAGGAACAGGAAATGGCTGGGCCCCCCCGGTCTACAGGGCCCCAACAATGGTACCCGGTAAGTGCTTGTGAAGTGAATGTAATCAGGTGTTTACCAGTTAGCCTGGCTTACCATCCCGGCAGCCCAGCTGTCGGCAGTCCTGTCTGCCTGCTCTTGGAACAGTTCTGCACCTCACAGGGCCCCAGCCATGGAAAGGGAAGGGCAGTTTGATGCCAGAACAGGTACTAGCAGAATGACCTTGGGCTAGTCATCTGCCCTCCTGTGCCTTGGGTCCCTGTAAATGAGGTAGGGAGTGGTCATGCGATCATGTGACCAGCACTGTTCATTACTTACTTGTTATGTGTTTGTTTGTTTGTTTTTATTTTCGAGACAGGCTATTACTGTGTAGCTCCGGCTGTCCTAGAACTCATTACGTAGGCCAGACTGGCCTAGAACTCACAGGGATCCACTTGCCTCTACCTTCTAAGTAATGGGATTAAAGGTGTGTGCCATTATGCCAGGCAGGGACCACCACTTTGTATGCTCTTAGCAATGGATGGCGACATACTGGTTAAAAGCATCACTTGGGCAGCAGTCTGCCTGCATGAGGCTGTGCCGTTACCAGTCCCAGCTGTGTGGCTGTGGTGGTTTGAATGAGATGTCTCCCGTGGGCTTAGATTTCCGAATTTTCGGCCCCAGTTGGTGGCACTGTTTGGGCAGGTTTAGGAGTTATGACTTGGTGAAGTGTGTCTGTGGAGAGCAGGCTTTGAGGTTTCACGCCTCACGCCATTTCTAGAATGCTCTTTCTGCTTCATGCCTGCCATTGAAAATGTAAGTGCTCAGCTTCCTACTCCAGCTGCCACACCGCCACTGCGGCCATGAACTTGTATCTCTCTGGAGCCATGAGCCCAAATAAACTTTGATAAGTTTCCTCATTCATAGTGTTTTATCATATCATAGCAACAGAAAAGGAAGCAGTGCAGTGACCTTGGTCCATGAGATCCCCCCACCCCCACCTTTGGAACCGAGCCCAGGGCCTTGTGCATGCTAGACAAACACTCTGATACTGAGTTACCTTCCTGGCCATAACTGTGTGACCTTGGACAAATTACTTGACTCCTCTGTACCTCTGCAAGGTCAGTAAAGGGCCCTCATTGGATGTTAGGGTCTGTTTGAAGTGTTTTGCATGAGTGACCATTCCATCCTCACAACAGGACACCAAGTCCCAAGGAAGTGAAATGATGTTCGCTGTGCCTGACTCTAACTGGATTTTTGTGATTTGGTTTCCTTGGTATCCATCTGGGAGCATCTTGCTGCTTATCTCTGGGCCTCTGTTGCCTCTTTTGGGTTATGTAATTTCCCTATCGTATTTTGATGAAAAAAGCTAGTGCGTAGTAGGAGCTCAACTCATGTGCTGCCTGTGGTGCCATCTGTGAGTGACTTGCAGCACTGCAGCATCTTATCCTGATACAGAGCCCTATGAAAATAGGGTTCAATAGCTGCTCATTTGCCTAGGGATACATACGGGGTTGCCTTCAGGACCAGCTCCATAAGCCGATTTTAGGGTCTATGAGATTTAGCATAGGGACATTATACGACGACACTTTGCTTAACCATGTCCAGATTGGGTGGGTTTTACTTTGTGACATTCATTAGCCAGGTTGCCTAACCTCTGGGTTCAGCATGCGTAGGAAGAAGGTTGACTAGGATGCATGGAAGACTCTTCTGTATTATGGTGGAACCGCTTCCTGTGTGATGCCCTTTGTCCCCTCTACATCTTACTCCTTCATACTCCCTGTTCCCTTCAGAGGTCTCCCCCCTGTGTGACACCGGGCAGAGGGTTAAGGATTAGCCCACCACACCTGCACAAGGGAGTTTCTCATAGAAGCGAATGAGATAACGCATGTACAGCACTCGGGCCAACACCAGGCACTCGGCATCCAGCCTCTCAAGCCCTTGCCATTATTATCCCTGTATTTTCTGGGGATGTCCAGAGACATAGTGTCTCAGGCTGCCATGTGACCTTGGGCAAGGCACCTTGCTTCTTTGGCCTGAACCCTGGAAGAGCCTTTGCAATACTGTGCACCAGGCTTTGAACCTTAGCATAGAACCGCTCAGGGCTGGGCTGTAGAAGACTGCCCTCCAGCTGACCAGCAGAGCAGACACTTAGCTCACTCCCGGCTCCTGTGCAGAGACTCTGGCTGTGTGACCTCAGTTAAATCCTGAGGCTGAAACCCAAGGCACAGGGACCAGAAGAGCCTCTGCCATGATTGTGGGGAGTACTCAGGTGGCGGGCGTGCCTCCTGAGAATGCCCAAGAGTCTGCACGCTTTAGACTGCAGCATCCATTTCAAAAGCTTCTAGTACCACAGGAGTGATAGGAAGAGAAATT